GCCGGATAAATTAAGGCAGGAGGAGATTGAATAATCTATCATGGCTCGGAGAGCTCGTGCTGCCATCCCACGCTGAAAATTTGATAAAGCAAAGAAAATTTGTGATGCAACCATCCTTGAGGTAGATTTATGAATTGTTTAAAAAGCTGCTCAGATTGAATTTATATTTTATTTATAATTGGCATGTTCAGAGCAAATTTATTCAATTAGAATTTTTTACTGACTCCGAATTGAATCATTCATGCCCTGAAAATAAACGTTTCCTCAGTTTTGTCAAAGTAATTTATTTATTTATTTTAGAGAAGTTAACTTCTTGCAAGCAGATCTTTGTTATATTGAGAGAAAAATCGTTGATGCATTGATTTCAGATGCGATTTTAACATCAGGGTGTCTCAAACAGATTTGAGTGTATCTCACACAAATAATTAATATAAATATTTAGAGTTAAAAAAACATATTTTTAATAAATTACAGGAGGATGGTAAATTTCAAAATAAGACCATACAATAATTTGTCGACAATTATGATTTAATGAGCAGTGACTATTATAAGGTGAAATTTTATTAATTTTTGCGAAAAATTCAGGTTGATAATTTAGAATAACAAAAATTAAATATAATATTATTGATAAAAGTGTGAATGCACAGAATTCTCAATTTAGTGTTGCCTATAAAAATAAAATTCATATTCATATATCGACAAATCAATACATTATAATGACTTTACTGGTGTGGAAACTCATTTCAATTCCATGGAAAATAAATATGACAGTTGATTTAATCTTTTCAATTCACTACCGCTGGTTTTTCCTCTCAAGCAAACACGATGATAAATATTTTTATGCGCCCGCTAGGACTAAACAAGTTGCGCAATTAGTGGAACGCTCGCCTATATAATTATGCATATGTTGCAATTTTGCGTATTCCACGTTCCGTTTTTATTATATTTTTGCAGCAAAAACGACGCAGTAGATTGCAAATGTCATCAGCAGGCGTCGTAATTTATGACTGCATTCAGCGGACCGAAAAAATGAGAAATAAAAAAACAGAATGATGGTGGAGCGACCACAAACTCGTTTGCGCAGAGCTGGACGCGGATTCAGTCGGTTCGAATTTAAGTTCGGGAGCGGCTGATGGCCGTGATCCGACTGGGGACTTGGAAGGAAAGAGACAAAGCCTGAAAGCCGTGTCACTCCTGCTCGCCAATGTGGCCTTCGAGATAGAAAAGTACAAGTTTGCTTCTTTACGAGGCTACTCTTGCATTGTTGAAGGATGGCCGGCGAAATTGGGAGTGGGAATTTGGCGGGCTTGGAGGTCTCGTAAGTTTCCTCTCCGAAGAATAGATCCTCTCTCTCTCTCTCGCGAGCGGGTGGCACTGGCACGGTCAAGCAAGAAGCAAAAGGGGAAAAGGCAAATGGAGGCCCCGAGCACATCCGCGGGTCTCATCACGCCGTCATTCGTGCTAAGAATAAAGAGACCCCGAGTAAAAGTGAGCGTCTCCCCTAGGACGTGAAAGGGCTGCTTCTATCTCTACGAGCCCGACGCTGCACACACCTCTCTATATCTGCACCGGCGAGTAACAAAATAAACACCGAGATGTAACGCAATCAATACATTCGCAGCGTCCAATTTCAAGTGCCCCTCGCCTCGGGTTGCTTGCTTAGCGGCGAGCGAACTGAATTTATTGAATACTTGATGAATCCTCACTTGACTGCTTTTGTGCTGACCATGCGGCTCATATTTGCATTTCCAATTCTGCGTATACTGAATGGTCCACGGTGCGGAATATTTTCACAGGAATATCGCTGAGGGTAGCGTTGGAAAATCGCACGCTCCACAAAATGCGGAAGGGGAATTCTATTTTATTAAAACGGTACAAACAAATAATGTTCTTCTGAATTGTTTGCGATTTAAATTTCAAATTGGCCATTATTCAAGGACCAAATGGAAATTAACACAAATGGAAATTAACAAAAAAATCGCGTAATACAATCATTGTTTTTAGCAAAACGAAATCAGTGAAAGTGCAAAAAAGGCGACTTAACGATCCGTTTGATTATTCTCGAGGAGATTAGCTTCATTTGAAATGCGACACTTGATGTAGGCAATGTGGAGACTGTATAATCCGGAGAATTACTTGGACCTCGGCCAAATAAAAAGAAACCACGCCGTCTGGTATACGTTTTTGCCAAGGTAATTACTTCTCTCTTTTCTCGAGAGTACTTTCGAAATCGATCACGACGCGGTAGAATCTGAAATCAGGTCTGTTAAGGAGTGCAGGTCAATAGTACCCCAGACCAAAAGAACCCATTGAGGGCTTCAGAAGCAGTGCTACCAATATTTACATGAATTAAGCTTTGATTTAAATTTTCAGATATTTGTTCCAAATTATTATTAATTGGCTTAATCTAAATTTGTAAAAAAAAAAAAATATATATTTTCTTATTATTTAAAATTTATGTTGGATTGAGATTTGATAGTACCAATTTAAAAAGCTTAAATAATGTAATATTCTTGTTGTATGAAAACTCTTGTCGCAGCATAAGTTACTAGGAAAATTTGAAATTATTATCTTTATAGAATATTTTTAAATAACATAAGTAAAGTTAGAAACCCGCCATAAATAAATAAATTTTAATTCAATAAAGTTCTTGATTTGGTGGAAAAAATTTTAATTTTTTTTTAAATTGTTATATTTTGTTGTTAATTTTTTTAAAAATTAGATAATGTTTTTAAACAGAAAAAGCACGAATTTTTTAAAATGAATTAAAACAAAAAAGAGAAAAAAATATATTATATATTTTAAAATAAAAAAATGAACACCTTCATTTTCATTCAAAATAGTCTTTTGTCTTCTTAAATGATTTCCAAAATTGGAAAATATCAAGGTTCCTCGACGTTTGAAAATATCTGTAGGTACTGACGTACTGTAAGTAAGCAACTATAAATTTTCTGGCAATCTACCTTACAATAATGAATAATTAAAAAAAAAATTGACACGAAGTTAAATCTGCCTTGAGAGTGAGGAACTATTGGTCGCATACCCTGTTGAGGAGGTGCTGAATTTCAGAAGCCGAAATCCAGCCAAGAACAAGGAAATCCCTCTTTGCTGTTGGCAATCGCAATTGGCAGCGAGCAAATAGGGCCGCGCCATCAAGTAATTATTTACTAATGCTTTGCGAGTGCGTCTAAAGCCTCACTCAGCCAATTACGGGAAGTGATTGATGGTGGTTTCCTTTATAGAAAAGCAGCGCACCCTAATTGAACTGGATTCAGAAAGTTGAAAGAAACGGGAATAAGTCGTGTGCGGGTTAGCGAGTGCATGGCAAAGGGTTCTTGAGAGCGCAGAAAGCGGTTCAGACCACTTGTGCGTTGGCAGAAAATCCGGTCACGGGATGAAATATATTTGCAAAAAAAGAGTGCTTTCAGAACGGTCCCACTTGTGACACAAACGATTCCCCCGGAATTTGCAACCGTTTTGCCATGCAATTTAATTTGAGCTTTGAGGCACCATCGCAATTTGCCACACAGAGAGCCACGTGAACTATTAGTTGGCCTATTTATGCGCCGCTGGCTGGCGATTCAATAAATATTTAATGGAGAGCAGCGCGCCGGAATGGGCTGCATCAATTTTACGCGCTGCCTTTTGGAAATATGAAACCAATAAGGGCTGCGATATGAGCCATGAAAGTGAGGCATTATGCAGGCCAGTAACGGCGTTTTTCCGCACAGCGCCCGTGCATTTATGGGCAAACTCACGCAGACACTGGTCCAAATGAAATTCGTATTCCACTATTTGGCTTCATAAAGAGTGGCTCGTTTAATGAGATTAGGTTTTGTTGCCAATTTTCTTACTGCGTAGTTTAGTGAGAGTCTTTATTGAAACGTTGTGTGAAATTTAATTCACTGAAAGTTGATCGTTTTCATTTCTATTTTTATAAAGGAAATTGCACTCTGCAGCTTTTAAATGCACATTCAAAGAACTGGATTTATTTTCTCGCTGAACCTTGATGCAAAAAGAATCTCATCAGTTCACGTATTCATTCAGCGAATATATCTGAAAACGAATGTAAAGAAAAAGATAAGTGACTAGTGAGGAAGGAATAAAAGCATCGCTAAAAGCTTTCAACGTTGGTTGTAACACGACTTTTGCCGCATAGAAATGCACCGCCTTTTCTCGAAATTTGCTCAGCTCGTGTTAATAAAAATTCACTCTGTGAAATGAAGATTCAGCTCGGGTCCGTCGTCGCCTGAGCGGTCGTAATTCAAAACTGGGTCAGCCGTCTCCCTTGACAGGGAAACTGCACACAACAAGAGACACAACAACAGAGCCATTGACCGAGTTGGAACAAATTCATGTGTGAGGAGAGCAGGGAGGGAGAACCGTTGGCAGTGGATTTTTATTGTAACGAGCTTTTCGCGTTCTCGCAATCGAGCGAGATGGAAAAGTTTGCTCCAGGTAATGGCAGAGAAACAATTTCCTTTTGTCAGGAACGGGATGAGCCCGACGAAGACTGTTATGCGATTTCGCAAACAAGATTGCGCGACGCTGGAAAGTAAAATGACTTAATTAAGGGAGATTCGTCTACATTGACGGAGGCGAACTTGAAAAGCCCATTATTGCCGCTTCTATTTTTCATCAGTCAGAAAAGAGGAGAGCCTGCGCTCGGTTGGTTAATAATTAATCCACCCACCTCCTCCAACTCCTTGTGCCATCAGCTCCGTTCGACTGCGCCTCGCTCTCCGAGAGTGGGCGCAAGGATGCGGAATTAATTAGAGGAGCTTTTATTTTTAATTAAGTCCCTAGCAGCGGCTGACTAATGGCCCAAAACATTCGGCGCGGTCACATTTCATTATTGCAAATTGGTTCAATTTGTTCTCTCAAAAGAAGGCTTTGATGCTAATTAAAAAGCAGTTCATACCATTTGAACTGTGAATTCTCTGATATAATTAAAAAAAAAAAAATATTTAAAAATATAAAATTTTGATGTTTTGTTTCAGATCAGATACATTTGAAGAGGATCTAAATCACAGCCAGTGGTAAGTTGAATGCTTGTTCACGTTTGGTGAGAATGAAGATTTTGTTTTTAATTTTCCAGAAAAGTTTTTTTTTGTAAAAATTAAAAATGTAAAAAATCCGAGACTTGGCGGACGGAATCTTTTGAATGTGCTTAAAGCAAACAAAGCTGCGGGTGCTTGAATACAAAATTTGCAGCTGGAGGTTTTCTTTCTCGAGTAGTAATTGAAATTTTTAATTAAGGAGAGATGTAAGGAACGGGGGAAGAATTCGTGGGTTCTCTCGCACAAAGTGCTTTACTTTGTATAAATATGCCACAAAATCTCGCGGAACGTGAAAGAGGGCAAAAAATATATCGCTTCAAGAAAACAGTTTCTCTTTTTTTACTCGGACAAAAACTTTCTCTTGTAAAAAAGTCGCCGAATACTGAAAGCGACAGTTTAAGAAAACAAAACTGGTGTTTCTGCTTTTACAGTTGATATTTTATTTCTATCCAGTCGTTCAAAATCAACAGAAATAAATAATCTACTGCAAACCAGACTGGAAAGTAAACGCGATGCGCGCACATATCTCTCCGAGCAAAATGAAACCGCGAGCGAATTCATCTCCCGAAAGGGCGTCGCGTCGCACATAAATATCCATGGCGCAGAAATGCACACGAGGCCAATAAACACGTGGAAAGCGACCTGATAAATTGCACCTTCGCCCGGCCAACGCCACGTTTTGCGCCCCGCGTAATAAAGTATGCAGCCAGTGCATCAGGGAAAAAATGAAAACGCTCGCGCTGCTCTCTCGGCAGAGCAAACTGTTTTGCATAGATACATTATGAGATAGCCGCGCGCGATTTATGACGCCTGTATCCTTTCTGCATGCGAAGTCGTAATAAATTGTGCACCGAGATAAGACCAGGAAATGTTGCACGCTGCAGCCCGCTTAGCGTCTTTTAAACAGTCTTAAACCGCCTTTTATGCTGTCCCGCGATCATAGCATAGGGCTGACCTCCATATTTCACACTGGCTCCTATCTGCACACTCCTTTGCATAAAAGATGTCTCAATATTCGCTGGCGTTTTGTAACAAAATTTGTTTCTCCCAACGACTCTTATCATTGTGGATAAATTTCGAAGTATAATTTATTTTGCAAAGTGGACAGTCGGGTTTTATAAAAGTTAGAGAGACGCTTTAATTTCAAAAGTGTATTTAAAAAAGGTTTTGAAAACTTCAATAAGAATTGGAGAACTTCATCCTGTTATCCGTGTTTTAATATAGAAAGTTGACTTGAAATTTTTCTTATATAAATGTTGTAAATTACATTTTAAAGGCACTGAAGATGTCATAATCATAAAATATATATGGCATATAACATTTAAAATCATTATTTTTCAGAACAATGTTTATAAAAAAATATTGCTTACATTAAAAAAAATCAATTGTATGAATTTATTTATTTGAATCGTAAATTTAGAAGACGGAATATTCTTTTTGCATAGAACTATTCGTTGGGACGATTCTTTTCCGCAACAGTTTCTATTTTTACCAATAAAATGGTCTAATAATTAGATAATTATGTGACTTAATTCAATTTTTCATCATGTGTGTTCAGATATCTTTTTCATTCAATGTTAAGATTATATTTAATATTGTGGATTATCTTTAATTTTTTACCTTTTGAAATTTATAAGAAAAGTGAAGAATAATAATTTGTTAATAAAAAACTGAGTAAATTCAACAATGAATTTAACTTAAACTCTCTCTTGTAATCAATGTAATTTATAATATTGAATGTATGGATGATGTATTTGGGCAGTGAATGCCCGGTGGTACATTAATAAACACAATTTGTAACTAAATAGACAGTTAATAAGTAGTTTCCATACTGTTGGGAAGAGTATTTTCTTTGTAATTAAGAATGTAGCTTACGCACTTATAGAATTGTTTTTATTACATTTCAACGTTTGCAATTATAAGAGATAAATCTAAAATAAATATTTAAAAAAAAAATTAATAGCATTTTCCTCTGTAATGTTGCATCCGTGCGCTAATTTCCCGCCGCTTTGATTCAACATATGCGCGCAGAACTATTGTACGTTTTTGAGAAAGAAAAAATAATAATAAATCGTCCGGAAAAAAATATCGTCCGTACCCCTCTTTTTAATTTCCTTTTTATAGTTAAAAAGTTTAGAAGTTTTTTTTCGATTCCAGCTCACTTCGGTTCCGATTAAATTCACTTCAAAGGAGCCAAAATCGATTATTATTAGCATCAAGTAAACGTCGAAAGTTCAATCAGCAAACCCAACATTTGCTCGGTTACATATATCCGGACTGTTTGATCAACCCACATGCATTAGCCCAAGGCAACGGATCACGCCGTAACGGCTTAAACGCGCTTCGAAAGCACTAAATCCGCGCGACAGAGACATTTTTACGATGCTAGTGCTGATTTAGTCTGGGAGCCACGAGCAGATAGAACGAAATTGAAATCAAACCGAGAAGTGCATGGTGTGTTAAATCTAGCTCTCATCTCTCCCAGGAGCGTGTTTGCCATTAGACTGAGTCATTAAAGCGAGTGTTGTTTTCCTTCTGCAGCCATACAACTCATTACATTAAACATTCGTGTTGCGAGGGCGTGTGTGCTGATAAGAAACGCGGCGCCTCATCTCGCGCACGCACACACAATATTACATACAATCGCGATTTTATCTGCGGAGCGTAGTTGAAAGTCGCGTTTGCGGTTTTGCGTTCGCTCATCTCGTCTGCGGCTGTTCTCTCTTATTGGGAAAAGCAGCACTCAAATTAACCCGCCAGGCACACAGTCTCTCTATACCTGTGCCTGACATTATTTGCTCAACGCTCTGCAAATTTTCCGTTGCAACCGCAGACATACACAGCGAGAGACAAGTAGTGCTGCATTTCTGCTCGCAATCTACGTCGCCAATGCGAGGGCGAAGCAAACTTGTTTAGTATGCACAATGCTTACATAATGGGATTGAAAGGCAGAGTCAGCGCTGCGAATTGACATAGGCAAACTTAATTATACGGGGAATTGTCGGTCTAATTTAAAGTGGAATAAGGAAGGAAAAAGCTTGTAATTTGATTTGAAAAACCCTCTTAAGCAATATTGATTTAGGTTATTCAAGTTTAAATTACATTCCCTCTGTGAATAAATTAGTTATATTATTTAATATTCTTACATCAAAAAGAAGGTTTTGATTTTGACTAAAATAAATTTTCTAGATTAATTTGTATTTTAAATGCATTTGTTTTACAATAATTTGTAAATTTCAAGGATATAAATTTTGAATTATTGTAATTTGCTTTTTCCTCTTACTGATAATGAGTCTATTTTAATGCGAAGTATTTTCGAGTGCAAAAAGCAAGAACGAATTAATGACGTGCTTTTGCAAGTGGCCATTATTTTTTCGCATCTCATCTCGAGCACAAACATTTATTCTGTCCAAATTAGAATATTTACATGTGATTTGCAAAAGAAATGGTGGACGAGTAATCCCATCTAATTGGGATGCAGTAACAACACTGAATTCTCCTGGCGAACGGGAAATATTCAGAGGCGAACCCAAACAGAGCGGGCTGGCGAGGATGTGCCTGTTCGTCTGAGTGAGCAGAGATGCCCGAGCGCGGCTCATAATGTATGCCGTTGCTGCTCTCGCTGGCTGAGCAAACGGAACTCTGGCAAAACAGAAAAAGCTCGACGGCAAAAAGAGGCGGCGGCAGCGAAAGGGATCGCTCGGAGAGTCGAGTGTTCCGGGCCAGCATGTGCAAACGATTGCTAAAAGATAGCGCCTGCTTAAATAAACGCCAGACGTCTGGCTGCAAACAATAAGTAGCATGGTTTCGCCTAATTGAAATTGATTGCGCGCCGGCGTAAACATCAGCACACAGACATAAAACACGACTAGCTATGCAAATACACTTCCACTTGAAGCCGCTGCCGCTATTTATTGCCGATCTGCGCTACTTTTTGCGCAGTATGTAAATTTGCTTCCGGCTTGTCCGCTCGATGGCTATGCTTTGTGACTTTTTTTTATTTTGGGAAAGAAATTCTTCTCGCTGGTCATTGCAGAATAAAATATTGTATGGTGTTGTTGTCAATTATTAAAATTTACTGTATATTTGAAAATGCGATTAAATCAAATTTAAATTCTTAGGTAATAAAATTTTTGAAGAGAAGAGAATCATCGTAATAAAAACAATTATCTGACCCGATTTATCAATTATTACACAATTTAAATAATTTTATTGCTTTTTTTAAATTGAGAGTTTAAAATTAGTTTAATTTCAAAATCATCATTTACTATTATGTTTATTTTACGCAATTTAAATAACTAATCGTAATTCACCTTCAAATTCGTAAGAATGATTAAGAATAATAATCAGTCCGTACTGAAGCAGAGCATTGTTATAAATTTTTCTTTTGATAACGTTATTTTTAATTTTTTTATTATTATTCTAGGTCGATAATATAAAAAAATTTTAAATTTTCTAAGGAGGGTTTCCTTTTTCATTTGTTATTATTGAAAGTATCTTAAAAATATTTTTTATTTATCTCATATGATAAACGTATCTCAATTTACGGGGAAATTTCTCTGTGGCTCTACATTAAACTTTGTATGCTACTAAAAACAAATTCGAAATATAAATTCCCAAATAATTTGATGCTCTTAATTGTAAAATGTTATCAAAACAATATATATGTACTAAAAATCTAATTTATATAAGCAATATATTATTTGAAAATTTACTGGATTAATTAATTTTACTGTTGAATTTTTGTATATAACTTAATTATTTTATTAATCAACACGGTTTTTGTAATAATTTGAAATGTTCAATGCATGTCAACAAATATTTTAAATCATTAACCTATTTTATTGCCATATTGTCTTTTAATTAGAAGCACATTAGAGTGAAAACATTGCTTTGTTTACCAGGCAATGCGTTGTGCCGACTAATTTGTGTGTTAATTGTTTGCGTCGGATAATTTAAATAACAAGTAGTTACAATTACTAAATACATATATTATTGTAATCTCTGTTATTTGCCCTCGACAGCGGTGATTTTATTAGTTCAGCGCAGTAACTAGCAATACATAGTTTGCTGATTAATTGATTGGAAAATAGGTCAATTATTCAACGCGGATGTGTATTGTTGTTCATGTTGTTGTGAAGCGAATAACTTTAATAACCGTTTCAATCACAAAGCACCATCATAATATGTTCAGAACAAAATTGGAAAAAAATCACAAGGTTGTACTTGCATTTAGTTCAGATTTTAATTGGAAGCATTTTGAAATTTTGTGCATGAATAAATGATTGCAGCGAAAAGTGATTTGCATGAAGAAGTGAGTCGTTCGAGGTGAAACGTGTTAACCGCGAACGGCGGCCCCCTTTACAGAGCAAACAATAAAACTCGCTGGCACCATCATTCAGCGCCTAATCTGCAAAGCAGGCTTGATTTAAGATGCAGCTAGCTGAATGTGTAAATTTAATTACCGCGCCGGCCTAAGTTAGAGTGGCCATAACAGTTAAGCCGCGTGTACTCAGCTAACTTGAGCCAGTCCGCATAACTTTGAATTAAAGTTAATTCGCTATGGAGAGCCGTAATCGTTAAACGAAACGGTCTTAATAATAAAATACACTCTCCATACGAAGCTGCGCCGCCGGGGCCGCAGCCGCGCGACGCGTATTATCATAATAATGCACTCTTGCAAAAATGAGAGGGCGTCGTCATTGTGAATGCGCGTCGGCGATAATCGCAAGTGAAAAGTGGCACTGCCCTTTCCATTTCGTATGACGCAGGCAAGGCCGAGTTATAAAAAGAATACTGTAAAAAAATTTCAAATTTACCTTTTTGAGGAATTAAAATTTACATTAAAAAATCTTATTTCGTTTTTATTTCCTCATAAATTTTAGAAAAATGTCATTCAAAGAGTCATTTATATAATGACCGTAACGAGTTTTTTGTTATTTGATGACAAAAAAGTCTTTCGTAACAAAACATTGTCCGCTGTCCTATTCACGGAGACTTTATTTTTGAAGCATCCGCAAACAATGTTCATTTTCTGTGGTGAAATGAAAACGTTGTTATTTTCCACGTAAATTCCAGGAAAATGATACTGCCCGCGTTGATGTATGGGTGCACGTGCGGAAAGACGAGGAAAGCAGCGCATCAGTTATTCCACCGAGTTTTTGCCAGACGGTCAGCCAGTCGTACTGGATGAATGAAGGGTATTTTATTCAACGGATGCGAATCCATTTCAATGCAACGCCATGGCACGGCGCGGGGAAATCATAACAAATGTCCAGATTGTTTATCTTCACTTGTAGAGTTTAAATATGTAAATTTAGGCAAATACGCATGATAATTGCGGATGCGGATAATTGAACTGGAAAAGCAAATATTTTAGTAATGGTAATCAAGCATTATTAATTTGAATTCAGTCATTCAATTGAAGTGAATTTCTTTATTTCAAAATAAGATGTATATAATTATTTGAACAGACCTTTTTTCTTTGCAATCTTTGGAAATTTAAAATATTTATTCTAACCAGTATTGAAACTGTTCTATTTTTTCATTCAACGTAGTCTTAATTAATGAGTGTAATAAAAAAAAGCTTTCTATTAAAATATTTAATGTATTTAAAATATAATTAATTCCCCCCTCCATTATCATACTAGATTAATTTATTAATTGATCGTAATTAATGAAAACAAGAGACCTTTTTCAGGTTTAAAATTTACAATAAATAAACATTGAAAATTAGTAGAAGAAGAAATTAATAGATTGAAGAAGAAAAAATCAAAATCAAAAGTAAAGGCCCTGGAGCAGCAAATTATGTTAATAACGACACTCAAAAACTTTTGCAAAAGTAGCTTTGGATTTTTAAAAACAATTTGTTAAAAATATTGTCAATAATTTATGATTATTTTTTTATAATTATTTAATTTATTATGTAGAATATGTAGATCATAACATAAATTGATTTCTTTAGGCTGCAAATTAAAAAAAAAAAAAATTGAGAAAAATGTCAAACTGCACGTTCTCATTGTAATCGTTTAAAATATTTTGTCAATTTTCATAATTATTTTTAAAATAGTTTGCAAAAATATCAGTTAATAAATGAATTCCCTATTAAACGAGTGTCTGCTCTCCATCTACTGATGGCGACTCGCACCACAAAAGTATATTTTATAACGATGCAGCTCTCCTACGCAAATAATACATTAAGCGAGGGCGTACGTAATTCCGGGGCCGAGAGAAAAAGTGGGCGCTTGACGTAGCAGGTGTTTCAGCGTGTGCACTTTATATAGGGAGTGCCACGTACAATTTGATTCATGAACACTTTTATTTCCCGGGCTCCTCCGTCCGCACAAAGGAGACCGAGTGACGAACGGTGCGCTCTGTCAGCAAATAATTCCGCCACTACTGTTGCTATACCTTATTCTCCTTACGCTATATATATAAAAAGAGATGGGCCAAATAAAATATAATGGCGTGCAGAATTTCATTTTGGAAAGCTGGCTCTATAACTCGCTTTCTCGCCACTTCCTTCCTCCCGCCGCTGCTGCTTTTTTGCAACAAAAAGAGAGAAAAATGCGCAGAGAAAGGAAAGAGAGAGAAATTTTGCTCCGCCTGAATGGTGCAACTGGATGAGGCCACGAGCGTTCCTTTCGTAATCGTAAAAAGAAGAGCACTCGATTGCATTTTAAAATTTAATTGCACACTGAAGCAGCTTTCCTTGTGCTGAAACTAGTCTTTATTTCTCGGAATAAGAGCTCCTGGATTTTAATTCATTTCCTGGTTAATCCAACAGAAGAGGAACGTTTTTAATACAAAATAGTTTACCCGTTGAATAAATTAAACTTTAATAATTTAAAGCTTTTAAAGTTGCTTTTAATTAATTCTTTTATATTATATCCGTATGCAGACAAATACATGTAATTAAAACAAAATTCAAAATACATGTTGATACTGTCGCATAAAATATGCAAACTGAAGGGCAGTTAAAGAGGTAAAAATTTATTAAAATTCATGCACTTACATGAAATTTGCATTTAATATACAAGCTTTTGTAATGTTTGATATATTTTTACAGAGAGAAAATCGAACAAATTTTGAAAGTATGAAACTTCTACAAAATATTCAAAATAATTTATGCATTACGGCAGGAATACCACCAAAAGTACTCGAATGGTGTCACCTAATTAGCCGTTATTGTTGAGCCCTGCAGTTGTTGTAGTGCTCGCTTTTGTTAAAATAGTTGTTAGGGTAGTTATTGCAGGCATACCAGTTGTAATTGACATTTTCAGTGATGTGGAAACGTTAGCCGTTTTCATTGAGACTTGCATAGTTGTTGCATTGGTAACTTTAGCGGTAGCTACGGCAGGAGTACTGGTAGCGACTAATGTATTTGAAGATGTGAGATTGCGCTGTACATTAGCCGTACTTGTTGAAACTGGCATAAAATAAGTGCTCGCTATTGTTGAAATAGTTGTCACGGCAGGAATACTAGTTGTAATTTTGGGTGATGTGAAAACGCTTGCCGCATTTGTCGTTATGTTAGAAACTTGCATAGTTATTGCAATGCTTGTTTTAGTTGAAATAGTTGTTGTGTTAGCTTCGGCAGACATATTAGTAGTAACTAATGTGCTTGAAGATAGGTTGCTCGCCGCATTGGCTGCCATAGTTGAAACTTGTGTGGTTGTTGAAGTGCTCGCTTTTGTTAAAACAGTTGTTGTGACAGGAATACCAGTTGTAACTGAAATTTTGGGTGATGTGGAAACGGTTGCTACATTTGCCGTTATCGTTGAAACTTGCATAGTTTTAGTTGAAACAGTTGTTGCGGTAGGAATATTAGTAGTAAATAATGTACTTAAAGAGGAAAGATTTCTCGCCGAATCAGCTGTTATTGTTGAAACTTGTGTAGTTGCTGTAGTGCTCATTTGTGTTGAAATAATTGTTGCGGCACTCACTATAAGGCTACCAGTAGTGGTTGTGGTCATTGATGACGCGGTAACGCTCGCCTCGTTGATCGATATTGGAGTTGATGTTATCAGCTCGGTAGTCATTGGTGGGACAGTAACATCAGCAGTTATTTTGAGTGGCGTGGACTCGCTCACAACCCTCATAACGTTAGTAGAACTCAAAAGTAATTCTAATAAAGTGTTTGAGCGTGTCTCGGTAGGTCCTAGTCCAACAGAAGGTGTCTCAGCGCCAAAAACTGAGACACTTGACGATGAATCAATCATGGTCAAAATTTTTGCGTTTTCGGTAGTTGTTTATCAGGCATGGAAAAACTCATAGACATGTCAGTGCCTTTGCTAGTAGCTTCGTCAGGGCCGGATACACTTTTGATATTTATATTTCAGGTTAAAATCTCCTTTACATGAAATAAAATTTACATCGAATTATAATCAATTACATCTGTTGATTTGGATTCTACATAATCATGTATTATCCCCGTCGACTTCTGTTATTTTAATTACATCAAGGATGGGTGCGTGAAATTAATTAAGTTCAAAATACTTACACCAGAGCTCCCTGAAGTTGATGGATTTTTCTTGACGACCGTTGAATTTAAGATTGAAACAGTGGTTCTACGAGAAACGCCATGACATAACTTTTTCACGCAGCAATTAAAGATGCGAATCCTTCTCACTTGTACAGTTTTTACTATATTTGATTTTTTTATGTTGGTTAACGTCATCTAATTATAAAAACAATTAATACTGGTTTACCTCTTCTGATATGCACGATTTGTGATGCTGGGACAAATGGGATGATTGGGAGCGAGACAGCAAGTGTTGCAAACTAAATATAACCTTTACATTTAGTTACGTAATTGAATTTATAGATATTAAAATATTGTTACAAATACAAGGGCAGCCAATGAAGCCAGCACCACAGTCCGCATGTTGCAAAAGAATGAATTTCAGTCGTGTTGAGAGTGAACTGGAAAATGATCACTTAAAATTAATTATATTTCCGCCAGCAATGCGCTCTATCATTTGACTTTGGATCGGAAATGGGTAGCCTGCTACAAAAACATAGTAAATAGGAGGTCTTTAAAAGTTTCACAAATTTGGAAAATCTTACATACAATTATAATTTGAAAAAAAAAATATTATTTGTTTCACCCGAAATAAATTGAAGTGCTTATGATGCTTTTTTCATTTTGACCATATTGATAGTGCTATATAATTATTATAATGAGCGATATCATTATGCGTTTCCGATTTTATATTATAATTAAGAATATTGGAGCCGGATAGGAGTCACATTCAACTGCAAGCACTAATAATCATTTTCATTGTCTGAAAATTTATACATTTCATTTCTCGTAAAATTTCAAAAACTGCGTAGAGAAATTGTTGGCGAGTTAATGGAAAGTAATTTTAAATAATTAGTGTGTGGCTCCACGCTGAGGAAATGACGATGTGGAATGTTTGAAGCGCGTGGCAAAACGTTATTTTCTTTCAAAGCTAATCAATAAATTTCAAAAATTTTACGTGTGGGTTTCTATGATATTACGCTCGACTGTACGAGAGAACTAACGTGGCTTCTAGTTCAAAATCTCTTTGAAAAATGTATCTTGTCCAGGATGGCTTCTTTCTCAACAACATATATTAAACAAACATAAAACTTCAGTTTTTGCTGTTTCAAAATAGCACATTATGCCAGAAACCAAGAACCAACCAACTTTAAAAAAAATGGAATGATGGAGTAAGAGCTCATATTCTCATATGTATAATTAAAATATATGTATATATTTTAATTATATCCAAGAAAAAAAATATACGTAGATTTCCCAATTCTTACCCGTAATTAATCCTATTGCATAAATTATTTAGTTTATATATTTATGTTTCGTTTTTTGTCTTGCAACTATAATCTGTCACCTTATTTAGAACATTAAAACTTTTGATTTATTACATTTTTTTTCACATAAAAAATGGTTTATTTTCACGCGCTGCTTATCTGCCATCTTTTTATGCAAACTTCTCTATTGATGGGGCGAACGTACTTTTCCACACATAGTTGATGATTGAGTGCACGTATGCCTTCTTCCTCCGATATCATTCTCCGGCACGTGTCAGTCAGTCTCCCTCGCAGAAGCTATATCGGGATGCACGTCAGAGGTGAGGGTTCTAATGCAACCCTCTGGAGAGGACTGCGCCCCTGAGCACGTTATCAAATTTTTATTATATGCACCTCGCGCCAAGCAGAGGAGCCTCGCTGCTTTTTCTCCTTCCTTTTTTTATCAATAACTCCCATAAAAAGTAACAACTCGCATATGAAGTGGAGCAGCGCTCGTAAAATTGATGGCGCACTTTCACTCCTGGCAGGCACTAAATTGAAAATAAGTCCCAGATTTGAACAGCCCGAGCCAGCTTGGTGCGCGGGCGGCCGTGCACGAACCCTAATTAAACTTGCTTTCCATTCATTCATCTCGGCGGGCGATAATCCGCGCGCGCCTGCCGCTGCAAAATGTGAGCCGGCGAATTATTGTTGCTGCTGAAAACGAATTTCAGTCCAAACAGATTAATCCCATGGGCGAGTCCGTGTGAATTTTACCGTTATATGTGGAAAGAATAATTTTACCTCGCCTTTTCTTTGTAACAATATCATTGTTATTGCTTATTGTCAATGTGTTATCAAAATGTAAATGTCATCAATTTTTTATAGCTCGCCCACTTTCGGATTTGAAGCACATAAAAGGATTATTTATGAAAATCCGTAGTTTGAAAAGTTATTTATGTTTATTCCCATTAATCTGAAATTTGGTTCTGAACAGATCAAAACAAAAAAATGCTGATTTAATCCTGGAACAAACATTTCACGTGAAAACCATAAATATTATGTTTATTTTTCCATCCCTCGGAAAGATATAATCTGTTTGATTTTTTTCAAACTCATTTATCGAGAGTCACAGCTGGCAATGTTTAATTAAATTTGGCCTTTTGAATTGATCAAAATTGACCCTTGAACCTTTTCCATTGCGCACTCACTAAAAGCAAAAAAAGTTGGCTCAAAGAGAATTTTTTCATCAAATTCAGTGCAAAAACTATTCCCAAGCACCAACTCTGCATCGGTCCCTGGTTTCCTGGGATATTGATTGCAAAATTTAGTACCTGGAAAAATTTAGCTTTAACCTTTTTTTGGCTACGAACAAATTTAATGGCTTTTTTTCCCCCGATGACTGTTGAATAATTTAATTGAAATTATTGATTTTTTTTTTTTTTTCAAAATAGCCCCTTAGCGACTGTTGAATTATAGACATTTTTTGGTAATAAATTATAATTGAAATTGAAGCAAATAATTAAATAATTCAAGTTTAATTTTCGTATGCAGAATAACAAATTAAAAAAGTGATTCTTTTAGTCAAAGCTTGCCATCTTCTAATTTAATATCTAGAAAAAAGCTTTAAAATCATTTGAAAGAGCAGCCATAACACTTAATTTTACGGCACCATTGCTGAGTTTTTTGCTCCGCTCGTATTTTGCACCAAATATTGTTTATTGAAAAAACGAGAAATATTTGCTTGTACTGCTTTCATTTCTAGAAAAAGCTTTAAAAAACAATATAAAAATAATTTAGCACATAGTTAGCTTATATTAATAGTTTGATAAATTTTTGTAAGTGAATATTTTTAATTAATTTAGAATTTTTCTACAGGGATTTGTAAGCATTCTTTTTTTTTTTTGGCATTCTCTCACTTTTAATAAACTGCAGAATGTTGTTACATCGCATTTACACGAGGAAATGTGGTCGGATCCCTTGCTGAAATATTTCCATCGGCGCGGCACAAAATTGAAACATTAAAATTTCCGCAGTGGCGGAGGCGAGCGTGTGTGCGGGCCGAGGGGAAAATAAATTCCTACTGGGCATTTATTCCATTCTGATTTTCCGCCCTCTCTCTTTCTCATATGCTCGGGCCGCGCGCATAAAATATCTTCGCTCGCTCCTTGGCCCGGGGCGAAATTTATGGCGGTGTGCACGGCTGAAAAAGCACGCGCGCGCGTTCCGCACTCGCGTTTGGCAGCCTGTAAATCACTCTTAATATCGCCCCATAATATTATTACTCTGGCTGCCGCGCCTAATGAATCTGGCCGGGCGCCGCGTGCACTTCATGGCTGCATTTTATTAAGCAATGTTGTTTCCGTGTGTTTCGAGAGGCATTCATCATCTCGGTTTTATCGCACGCAGAGGCCACCGAACCCTTTGGCCAGTCATCTTGCTGCGGCCAAGATTTATATCTGATGCAGGAACACGATTTTTTACCCGAGGGCCATAAAAAGAAGGGCTTCTCCCGCCCTCCGCCTGCCTCTCTATCTATTATTTTTCACGGGCGGCCAAGATTTGTGGCGCTGCTCTCGAGCGAGCTGCAAAGAAGTACTTGTCCTGTTTACAACGGGCTAATTTTTTATGCCAAAATAAATCAACAAGTTATCTCTCAAGATGCTCTTGTTCTTTTTGTACATACATCAGCCACTTTGGCCTGTGGATGCGAGTGTCTTGCGGTTGTGCTCTACCCAGTAAATTGCGACTTTAACTACCAGCGGCAAGTCATTACCAAGTGCACTTCATAAGTCTGGGACCGGGAGAGAAAACGACTGTTTCACCCGTAATAGTACAAAGTTCCCCGTGAGAGAACACTTTACTAGAAATTCATCTCTTCAACTTAGTCCACTTGAACTTTTGAATGGTACTGCATTTAAATCTTTTTATTTGCACAAGTCAAGCATGTAACTGAGGAAATAAGCAATTATAATATTGTTTCAAAGCATTCATAAAAACGTCTGAAATTATGTAATTTTTCTTGCAATAAAAAAAAATGCATTTTTCAAATTACTTTTCAAGCAAAAGCAAAGCTTACAGCTGTGCAAGGAAAGGGAAAAATCTGGTTTCTCTTCATTCATTATTTTTCACTTTGGTCAAATTCATTTGATGAAAAACAGATCGATGAAAAGGTTATTTTATTTAATTACCTCCAAATTTCTGACAGTGAATCTTTCCTTCTTCACTTTCCTTCAAAAACAGATTTTCATACCTGGGCTATTTTAAGAATATTTATAAATTTAAACATAAGTACCCTTCAGCATTGTAACATAATTACTAGTTGCCAATGGCTACAGTGCTGCACTTTAAAGAAAAGAAAAAAGCCTACTTTCCAAGAGTATTATTTTTCTACCGAAGCACCGCCCACATAGCTTTTCAAGATCACTTCTTACAGCGTGCAGAATTAATAAAACAAATTTCATTAAAAGTTTAAAACTTTTTAAAATTTAATATTAAGATATTGAAATAAAAGTGAAAAAATTTATGTTTTCCATGCATAAAAGTGGTCTTGATAGAAAAACCAAAGCCAATCCTGATTGTCAATTGATTATTACCAGAAAAAAATATTGTTACCCAAATGCAGAATGGCACAGGCCTGTGTGCGTTTTTCTCTTTCGTACAAGAAAAACTAAAGCAAGGTGGCGGTGCCAAAATTCGATTTGCTCTGTGTGTTGTCATCAAAATTTCAGGCGTCTGCTTCGCTTCGTCACAGTCACTCAGCCAGCCCCAGCCGCGCCGTTCAACTTTTTGTTTGTTTTTAATCTGGCGTGTGGATTGCGAGTGTAGGCGCTAATGGCGAAGCCATTATTGGTTCTGGCGCTCGTCCAGTTTGATATTTTGACTGGCGAGCACTTTCACCCCCGCAGCGGGAAATCGAGCCGCCGCGGCATTATTCAGTTAACGTATCAACCCAGTCCCCTCCCCATATTGGCATTCG